GCATTTGTGATGCGTGTTATATGATATTAGATATATGTTTACACATACATATGGTATGTGACCGAAGAGAATGAACATGTGATTATAAGATCAATGATTACAAGTACATTTAGTACGTGACTGAAAAGAAAAGATATATGTTCATAAGAGAAAGGATATGAATAAGTAAATTGAACTGTTATGAATGTTAATGCCCATGTTATATGATAAGAGAGCTAGTGGTATAGTTGGTATGCCAAGGGTCGAGGGTTTACCTATGTTCTTCGGGACATATGGACTGTTTACCTATGTTCTTCGGGACATATAGACAGTTTACCTAGGTTCTTCGGAACCTATGGACAGATGCCGAGGATCTTTATGACCTTTGGATAGTTACCGAGGATCTTTATGACCTTTGGATAGGTCCTTCGGGACATTGATCGAGCTGTGGTGACATCATATGTGTGCACAACCTCAATGTACTCACATACCTTAAGTTCTCACTAGTGTACATGGGCTAATAAAGAGATTAAACAAACATACTGAATGTGATATGTATACGATGAGTTTATAAATGGTTATCAAAAGTAAGTGGTTTAAAATGTGTTACATGAACCATATGATGTTATATGTGTTTCTTAATGATAATGATAGAGATTATGATAATGATGGTATATGTTTATGTATGTTTTATGTTATATGAAATATTATATGTTTTATATGCATCACTAAGTCATCGACTTAGCGTGTGATTGTTTCATACGTAGGTTTGGAAAGCGAAAAGAGTAGTAAAGAGGAACAAGACAGGTCAGTTCTCCTTACCGAATGTCAGATCAGAAGAGAGGTGAATAATATGTATTTTTGTATATAAAGTTTTAGTTGGCATGTAATCAAAAGAATATATTGTATAAAGCTCTGAATAGTTTTGTAAATGTTTTGAATAAGTTAAATGTTATACAAGTTTTAAAATTACTCACTATTTTATACGAATAAGTGTTTGAAAAGTCAATATAACACTTCGGACTCGTATCCGGGTTGGATACGGGTTGGGGGTGTTACATCCATGCCTAGAATCTTCTTCGCTTCACCAAGATCCTTCATCTCAAACTCCCTGTTCAATTGAGTCTTTAGTTTCGCAATTTAGGTCTGACTCCTGGAAGCTATCAATATCATCAACATAAAGAGAAGATATATAGGATCCGTCTTCTAGCTCGCGTAAATACACACAATGATCATATTTGCTTCTTGTGTACTTCTGCCCTATCATAAACTTGTCAAATCGCTTGTATCACTACCTTGGAGATTGCTTCAATCCGTACAACGATTTTTCTAATTTGCACACCATCTCTTCTTTTTTAGCAACTTTGAATCCATCTGGCTGAGTCATGTAGATTTCCTCATCCAAGTCTCCATGTAAAAATGTAGTTTTTACATCCATCTGAACTAGTTCCAAATCCAACTGTGCTACTAAAGCCAACAAAATTATGATGGAGGAATGTTTTACAACTGGAGAAAATACTTCATTATAATCAACTCCCTCCATTTGAGCGTAGCCTTTAGTCACCAATCGTGCTTTGTAGCGGATGTATTCTTGTAAGGAAATTCCATCTTTCTTTGATATACCCACTTGCACCCAATTGTATCTTCCTTCGGAAGACTAGCTAGTTTCCACGTCTGATTCTTTGAATGGATTGCATTTCTTCATTCATGGCGATCCTCCACTTTTATGTTATGAACTTTTGAAACTGCTTCATTAAAAGTGGTAGGAACGTCATCAATTGCAATTGGTGATGCAAGAGACCATATCAACATAACGAGCAGGTTGTCTAATGTCCTCTTCCATTTTGTGCAATTGATTCATGTTGTTGTGGAGGTTCTTGGGTATGAACCTCTTCTTCATCTGAGTCTTCTTCTACCATAGGAGAGTCAACATCAGTTTCTTTACTGGTTGGGACAATCTTGCTTCCTTCAAACTCCACCTGTTTGGGAGTTTCATCTGTCTGGTCTAATTTTTCTGAAGTCGCCTTTCTCAACATGGTAGATTCATCAAAGGTAACATCCATGCTGAATATTATTTTCTTTGTTTCTGGACACCAAAGACGATAGTCTTTCACACCAGAGGTAATCCCAATAAAGATCGCCTTCTTTGCTCTGGACCAAACACATGTAAGGAATCATAATCTGTAGCAGGTACTCCAAACCATTTCTCTACCCCAATAGCAGTCGATGGTAAGCGGTTGACAAGGTGACAAGCATAGACCAAAGCCTCAGCCTAAAATTCTTTGCCTAACCCAACATTAGACAACATACACCGAACCTTCTCCACTAATGTCCGGTTCATACGCTCTGCCACCCCATTCTGTTGTGGTGTACCTCTGACAGTGAAGTGCCTGACAATACATTCCTCTTCACAGACTTTCAGAAATTGATCATTTTTGTACTCTCCACCATTGTCTGTACGGAGACGTTTGATTTTTCTGCCTGTTTGAGACTCCATCATCTTTTTCCATTTAAAGAAAAATCCTAGCACCTCATCCTTTGTCTTCATTGGATACACCCAAACTCTCCGGGAAAATCATCAACAAAGGTGGCATAATAGTGTCCTCCCAATGAAGTTGTCTTGGAAGGCCCCCATACATCTGAATGAACATAATCCAAAATACCTTTAGTATCATGGATTGTTGTTCCAAATTTCACCCTCGTCTTCTTCCCTTTAATGCAATGCTCATAAAAAGTTAATTTGCAAGTACGAGCACCTTTCAATAATCCTTGATCTATGAGTAATTTCAAGGATTTTCAACAACATGCCCCAAGCGCATATGCCATAACCTGGTTGCTTCTGACTCATGTTCATCAGTAGAAGTTACCACTGCTGTTGTCCCAACAATTGTACTACCCAGAAAGTAATACACATTGTTTCTTTTTCGGATTCCCTTCATTATCACCAGTGCACCAGAGATAATCCTCATAATCTCATCTTTTGCCCTCACTTCTAAACCTTTTGACTCTAAGGTTCCCATAGAGATAAGATTTTTCATTAAATCTGGTACATAATGGACACCTGTTAAGGTTCTGATTGATCCATCATGATTCTTCAAGCGAATTGAACCAATCCCAAGTGTGTCAAGAGGGGAATTATTTGCTGTGTAGACAATTCCACCTTTTAGTTCTTTAAAATCAAAGAACCATTCTCTATTGGGGGTCATATGGTGGCTACAAGCTGAATCTAACAGCCATGAACTGGAACAGCTGGTTGATGGCGTAGCAACGAATGCGAAATCTGAATCTGCATCATCATACTCGACCACATTTGATTTTGAGACAGCCTTCCCCCTTTCAGGTTTGCCTTTATTCTTTAGCCTGTGACATTCTTTCTTCCAGTGCCCCTTTTCTCGACAAAAGACACATTCATCTTTGCTCAATCTGGACTTTGATTTCGATCTCCTCTGCTTCTTTATTCTGACTCTTCGAATGACCTCTAACAACAAGAGCTTCTGCTTCGACACTTGTGTTTTCTTGTTTGTCTTTCTTTCTCAATTCATAACTATAGAAGGCAACAGTTACTTCACTGAGAGATACATCAACCTCCCCCATGAAGTAGAGTAGTTTCAAGATACTCAAACTCATCAGGAAGTGATCCCATCAACATCAGAGCCAGATCTTCATCTTCAAAAGTCACGTCTATATTCATCAGATCAGTCACCAGTGATTAAAGCTAATGTGTAATTCATAGTGGTACCTGGTACATAGTTGAAGCGGAACAATCTCTTTTTCATGTAGAGTTTGTTCTACCCTTTTCTTTAAAAAATTCTCCTCCAGTGCCTTCCACAATTTACTTGCAGAAGTTTCCTTAGAAAATGCATACTTCTGTTATCTAGAAAGACACGATCGAATATTACCACGTGTCATTTTATTGATCCTCTTCCATTCTTTCTCCTCAACATCATCTGGTTTCTCTCCTTCAATAGCAATGTCTAGACCCTGCTGAAATAGGGCATCTAGAACCTTACTTTGTCACATGCCGAAATGACAGATGCCATCATTAAAAATCTCCACTGCAAATCTAACATTTGTCCAGCATTTCTTGCCAAAATTGAACAAGAAGCGCTTCTGCCATTTTTGCTACAAATTCTATTTAATAGCTGCAAATGCGGAATGTTAATTATCCCAAGGAAATTTTTTCTGATGTGGAAGATCAGCCTAAGCCGCAACCACAGAGCATACTAAAATAAACCAAGAGCGTTGATACCAATTGTTGTGTAATTCGGGTTAATTTCCACCAATAACATTCACCTTCGAAACTATTATCTAGGTGACTAGTGTGAAAACGATTGTACTAAAATCAACCCAAGTATATTCCAGAAAGAGAGGGGTCACAATGCTCCTCTTAAAACCCACTTTCCTTAACAGAACTACCAAGACAAGTAATTTTAGGACAATAATTAACAACAACTATACCCGACAATAGCTATTAAATAAAGATAAAAGAGACACCAAAATTTCACTAATAGATGAAATATTACAAAGAGAGAAAGAATACAAATAGCCTTTAATATAGAAGAAGACTTATATTTATGGGATGTTTAACTAAGGAAGAATATGACTTTATTTATAATAAAAGAATATAGCTAAACCAAACGTGACAACCTGACACGGTGGTTGCCATAGCCAGACCAAACGTTACAACCTCGCTTGGTGATAGCCATAGCTAGCGCAGTAGCCTCCAATTTGCGTTGATGAGATAAAAAATGGACAGAAAATTCGGAAGAAAAAGAAGAAGAAATTGGAAAGCAAGTTCACTTAAAGAACAATGGAAAAGAAAAGCGCGGGGAACTGTAGGGCATGGTATCATCAAGCTCAAAACAACGTAGACAGCTCCGCCATTTGAAACACAAAACGACACATTTCATTATGGCTCTCCTCCAACAGTCTCCTCATTTCAGCGTCTCCACCCCCTCTTACTGCACCATTCCGTCTAATCTCTCTCTCTCTCTCTCTCTCTATATATATATATTATCTTCGTAGGTAGAATATATTAGTTGATCAAGTTGATAAAAAGAAAGCAAGGGAAAAAAGGATTCTGGGGTGCCGTCTCACCAGCTAAGCGAAGGGCTGGTAGTGTCGGGGAGGCCGTAGCAACTAAAAGAAAGGTAACCGACAATGTCGTCACCAGCAGTACCGTACACAGGTGGTGACGTTAAAAAGTCCATAGAGTTGGGTAAAATGTTCGACATCCCAGTGCTCGATCATTCCTCACCCACTGCTATTCCTTCAAATCTCAACTCCAAGCAGCACCCGCAGCTTCTGCAACCCTCATGTGTTTCTTCTTCTCAGTCCAACAGCGGATCCATGCGATCTGGGTCCAACTCGGGTACTATCAGGAAATCTTCTGGGACCATTCCGCTTCAGCCTTCTGGGTTCATCACTTCGGGTCCCCTCAACTCCGGTTCCAGGAGGTCAGGTCAGATCGGTCAGGCGGAGGAAGCCGTTGCTGTGTCGGCGAATGATGGGTACGGTCCAGGAGTGACTACTCTTGGAGAAGGAGTGGGAATTGGGTTTAGAGTGTCGAAGGCGGTGGTTTGGATGGTGGTGGTGGTGGAAGCGATGGAGTTGGTGGTGGGTGCGTTTCTAATGGTGGCTGTGAAGAAGGTGGTGGTTCTTGGGGCTGTGGGTGCGCTGGTGGTACCCATGGGATTGGGATTAGTTTGGAATTGTATTTGGGGAAGGAAAGGCTTGTTGGGGTTCGTGAAGAGCTACCCAGATGCTGAGCTTAGTGGCGCTGTTGACGGCCAATATGTTAAAGTTACAGGGGTAAGCTTTTGATTCATCCCAGTGTTTTAATCTATATTTCTGTCTATTTGTGGATAGTGAGGAATGCTGTAAAGCTAATCGACCTTAATTTTTTAATTTCCATTTTGATAAATATATCTTATGGTAATTCATCTTTTGTCATTAATATCTGGGTTATTTTTTATTTGTTTGTTAGATGAGTTTAAGGTTTACATTCTGGATTCATTCAGTTGAGTATTTAGAATTCTAAATATATGTGTTCATGTCTAAACATACGTATTGTTCTGCAAACGGAGGTTCTTGTTCCTATTGGTCTAAAGCAAACTCTGAAGGGCGTTTACTAGACTTTCTTTGTTGTTTGAATCTTTTATGGTCAAAAAGCTTGATCTATTAGCTGTTTTTCTTCTACCTGTGATCATCATGCCGAGTGACTACACCATCTTCAAAATAGATATTGCTGAACCAAGTATAGGCAATTGATGTAGGCATATTTATCGTGCACATATATATAGATGCTGTGATTTGTTTACAAGGTTGAAGACAGGGTTCTCGCTTTCCAACTCTCGTGAACTTCAATTAAGAATTACATGCTGTGATCATTCACCTGCCATTGTATTGTTCATTTTGATGTGATGTTAAGGATGAAACCTGAAGTTAATGGTTTATTAAGTTTCCTAGTCGACCTTTAAGTTTATAGTTTGCATATACTGACCACGCTATATGATGAATGAAACCGAAACTCTTATCGTAGGTTGTCACCTGTGGACAGAGTCAGGTTTTTCTGGGGTCTTGAAATGAACATATTTGGATGCTCTTAAAGCAGATTCTAAGGACAACCCACATTTGTTCTTGAGGTATGAAACTGTAAATGAATGCGCATTTGAAGAACTGGAGAGGCGTCTGAGAATTGTTAGAGACTGAAATTCCTAAAAGACTGCGACTTTGTGTGGTCCTCCCATGGAGAATTGTTTTGCAGAGAAAGTAAAACATGGGAAAGTGTAATTAAGTTAAAAAGACAAGGGATTTACCTGGTTTTGGGTAGAGAAGAAAATGGATTTCTTCTCTGAAATTTGAATGGAGGCAGCTTCTGGGTTTTAAGGAAGAAAATCCAGCAGTAAACCTTTAAAAAAACCAAAGTCTTGTCGAGCCAACTGTTTAGCTTTAGCGTTTGGAGAAGGAAAGCTCTATTGAGTTTAGGCTTAACTCCCATTTTAGCCCTTACATTATAATAAAAAAATTACTTTGGTCATTTTACTTCTTTTATATAATATCTAATTATCCATTACACCTAAACCCACAGTTGCTTGTTTAAGCACACTCAAATGCACAATCTTCTGGAAATTGTAACAATAATGATATCAATCGAATTAAGACTCAGTTGAATTTGAATTGGATCAGTACATGTTTAAATATTTTGGAAAAGTTGATTTTAGGTTGAATCAATTTCGAATTCGGATACTGGTCACTTTAATTCTGATTATTTTAGGTTTGAAGTGGGTTTGAAGGTAAGGATTTTCTAGTTGCATCATTTCATGTTATGACTATTTCATGTTCAATAATTCAAGATTAATTTTATAGATTAATTATAAACGTTGAAGGTAGTGAACAAATTGTTAAAGTAATATTACACTCAGCAACTCCATTATCCAACAAAGTATTGATATTAGATGATTTAATGTCGAGTGATCAAAATAAGAGTAATATAAAAACAAAAATGAAAAATTTTAAACTTTAGTGATCAGAATAGATATGCAGAGAAAGTTGAGTGATGGAATTTGGAATTTACCAAATCTTATTTGATATTTAGTCAAATTGTTATTTGGTGTCTCTACAATACTTAATTCAAAATTTAATCTTTATACTCTAATTTTACGTAATTTTAGCCTCAAAGGCTCAAACTATATATACATAAAAGCCACAAATATGCTTTGTAAAATGTAGGAGGGAAAAAAGTGATTTACAATCCTTAAACTTGGCATATTTTCTCAATTTGATCCCTAAACTTTTTTCGATTCACACTAGTCCCTGACCTTTGTAACTTCTTCCATTTTTAATATTGTTGATGATGACATTCTAAGATCATAACCCACATTACCAAAATGATAAAAAAAAATGTACCAAAAATCAAGCTCAATAATTAATATGTATCAAAAAAGGTTCAAGGACAAAGATGAGCAAAGTTATCAAGTTCATGTTTATTCCTAGTTTTAATGTGTTGCCCTCACATTGAACAGCTTAATCCCATGTAATTTTCTATGGAGGGTTTGCAATGGTAATAACAAATCTGCTGACAACCCTTTCCTCGATAGGTAATCGACAATTTACTTACCTCAAGCCGAGTAAGATGCTGAAAATGTCGGTAAACGAGAGATGCCATCTACACGGTTACTTCCAGCTCCCAAAACAACAAGCCGTCTAACACCTGAAACCAGTTTTCACAGTTATAGTAAATGATTTATATCCCAAAATAACGACAGCTACGTAAAAACCTTCAAAAAATTAAAGAAAGAAAGAGAGCAAGTCACCAGGGTTTACCGATTGTTCCATCACTTTAAGCCAAGAATCGGTGCGCCAGATTAGGAAACAAGCTCTCTCCACTATAAGAACAATAATGGTTTTCCACCAATGGATCAGCTGAATCCAAGTACATACAACTTACATTAGTTGGAACATGAAATATTCTTAAATTATAACTTTCATATGAAGACGACAATTGATGTCGAATCAGCTATTCACTACATTCAAAGTTTGAAACTTAGATTCTTCAATCACAATTTCACCAATCATGCAACCTTCGAACACCAAAGGAAAGGAAGAAGTTACCTGATGCACAGTGATTTTATTTAGATTATGTATAAGCTCTGCCTGCGATTGAAGGCTGAAACTGACAGTAATTTTTGCATGCTCGAAAGATTATCAATCAAGAAAAAAGCTACTAAGATTGTATTAAAAGCATTCTTAAACAGAAGCCAAGTATGTTTTAACTTAAAATAATCCAACTAAAAAGGAACACAAATAAATTTGAACCGTTTAATCTCGATAATCAACATCCTATAAATGCTGCAACTTGTCACCATTTACTCTCCAGTTCTTTGAAAGATCTAACTTTTCATGATATAGCTTTAACAGCTGAGATGCTTCAGCTTTATGGCGGTTGATAAACTTCTCGACAAACAAACGATCGGTAGTCCCCAACAATGGCTGCACGTTAATGCACTTGATGACACCTTTGGACAACAAATCTATAGCAAACAGACCCCTCGGAACAATCCTGTTCTCCATGCTCATCTCCAGAATCCGGGGACGTTTCACAATAACACTAGACGGAAACCCCATTTTGTTCACCAGGAAATCCATCGTCACCATAGATTTATCCTTAGACACCAACATGAACTTGGGATACCGATGAAAGGCTTCAGAAACCTCCTCCTCGGTCCAACCAAACTTCTTAAAAGCTTCAATCTTGCTCTTGAATGTTGGTTTGCTTATCCCACTCATTGCAAAGAGTGCTGCCATAAAAATTGGCTTGGACGGATCGAATCCCATTTCCTTTGCTTCCTCTACATTAACCTTAAACTTATCTGGACTGGTAACAAATGTTAAAGGCATTGAACAAAGTGCTGAAGCAATATTACACTCAGCAACTCCATTATCCAGCAAAGTATTGATATTGGGTGACAAAATATCACAAGGATTGTATCCCATGAGGCGCGGACAGCGTTTCATAGCACCTAAAATCTTCTCATCAGACTTAAGCACGGTACTAAGGAAATTATAAGATGGGATTATTCGATTTTCTAAGCTTGATAAAAAGAAGGATGGGTTATTAGATAAGATATGGCTAAGGTCAGGGATTGAAACACCTTTAGGGTGCGTTTGGTTCACGGAATGTAAGATTACCAGTGAGAATAAAAGATTATCAGAGAATAGGATTACTGGGAATGTTGTATTTTGTGTTTAATTGGTTTAGTATGAATGTAAGATTACCGTGTTTGATTAAAGGAATAAAAGATTATTAGAATGTATATTTGACCAAATTGTCCTTATTATATATTTGTATAATATTACAAATTGTAAAATATTTATATATTTTCTTTAAAAAATTAAATTCATAATATTTATATAATTTTTTATAAAATTAAAAATATAAAAAAGGTTTAATGAAATTATAAAAAAAATTTAACCCTTGAACTTCATATAAAATTTTAATTATAGAATTTTTTTGTAAATCTAAAATAATTTAAGGATAAATTTATAATTTAACATTCGTAAAATTTTTATTATTTAATGACATAAGAAGGATATTTTTGAAAAAAATAAAAATTTAAGGGCATTTTAGTTCAAAACGTTAATAATGTTACAATACCAAGGGAAGGGAAGTAATGACATTCCCGGTAATATACCCAAAAAATCTACTATTGATAATAAAACATTACCGAGAATGAAATTTCCGGCCAACAAAACATGAGAATGTGGGATTCCCATTGGAAATCCCACAACCCTTAGAACAAAAGAATTCAAGTTTAGGCAAAATGATTTTTTTAACCTTTGAGACAAGCACTGTTGGGTTTCTCTTGATGAGTCGGATGATTTGGGGTTTCGAGAAACCATGGTTCTGGAGAATGTGAATGACAGAGTCGGCTTTTTCTGGGGTCTCAAAATGAACATATTTGGAGGCTCTTAAAGCAGATTCTAAGGACAACCCACCTTTGTTCTTAGGTATGAAACTGTAAATGAATGCTCATTTGAAGAAATGGAGAGGCGTCTAAGAATTATTAGAGACTGAATGTAACACCTAATTTAGGGGTTAAATTTAAGAAATTTTAAAGTGGTGAATTTAATTGGAATTTTAAATAAATTAAGATTAAATTAAATTTTCAAAGTTGACAGACCATTTTAAGAAGTATAGAAATTTAGTGGCTAATCTATAAATTTAACCAATTTCTATAGAGAGAATTATAAACTCTCCGTGCGCAGATCAGCATAATTTTCCCAGTTTTCCTTTCCAATCAACCAACTTTCAACTTCGATCTACTCGTCGTCGACCTCCGATCGACGAGCCGAAACAACCATCGTGTTCGTTGTCAACCGAGGAACAAAACCCCTCAAACTTTTGTCGTGAATCGTCGTCGTTCTTCGTTAATTTCAGTCGGAAGTATCATCGGTAATAACTCGGTTTTAGTTGGTTTTTCATCGATTCACGACGATCGGGTCATCCGTTTACGACACCTCCCACACCATCATGTTCCTTGCATCGTTCCGAGTCTGCCGGTGTCATCCTTGGTCTCCGTCGACGGCGGCGCGTGAGGAGGTAAAGCGGTCAAAGTTTTTGATTTGTTGAAATTGAGCTCTCCGCCGTTCAAAAATTTGAACCGAGCTTTGTAAGTATATCGAAATCGCTCAAAATAATTTTTAGAATTTTTTTTGAGAATTTTACATAGCCGGAATAGTACCCACGCGCCTCCACTGCGCGTGGGGATGGTCCAAATGACAGGTTTGACCGATTTTGGTGCATAGTTGACCGGTCATAACCCGACCCGACCCGTTGACCCGACCAATTGACCCGACCCGACCGTTGACCCGTTGACCGTTGACTACTGTTGACCAAAACTTTGACCGGCTTTGACCGGGCATTAAACGACCTTTGAATTTGACCGAGTATACATATCCTGACATTTTTCGACGTTCCAAATCCGATTCCGCAGTCCGGTTTTCGAAATTCAGACCTGAAGACCTCAAAATTGGCAGTCAAACCCGTTGACTTTGATTTTGATCAAAAATTTCAAATTTCCGAAATGTCATATTTTATGCTTTCGACGTCCTGAATCCGAATACGAAGTCCGTTTCGCCAAACTCGAACCCGGTAAGCTATTTTTCACTGATTTATCACACGATTCGATCCGTTTATCGCAATTAAGCTCCATTTTTTATGTAATTTCTGTTGATATGGATCCGAGGAAATATTGGATGATGATTTCAAGATCAAGGGCATTCGAATGGAATTTTATGGTCGATCAGTATTGCACGGAAATCGAGTAATATTTTACTATCTCTTTATGCTTTATAGAACATGTTGGTATCGGTAAATGCATAAATGGAAATGTTTGGTCTCATATGTGTAATTAATGAAGATCTACACTTGATACGAATACGGTAGCAAGTAGGTAACTAAATTTGGCACAGATGATTATTATAAGAGATTGAGGAATTGTTAGAATTAATTACAAGTTCTGTGCTTAGTGATAAAGAAATCAACATGGATTTGTAACTTATAGTTTATTTCATCAAGGATTAAATGTTAAAGGTATTTGGATGGGAAATTATGATAATACTCCGATATGGTAAAATTACGAAAATACCCTTAAGTTGTAAGATGTCAAGAATTGTCCCTCGAAGTTGATTAATAACTCTGAAAGGATATATTGATATGATAAAACTATAGATGTGCTTAAGAAATGCTAGATTTTGCTTATGAAATGCGGATAATTAGTTTTTAACCACTGGAGGGTTTGTGCAAGATATTAGAATTCTATTAAGTAATCATTTCAAGATAAGAGAATGTTTGGGAAAACAATTGATCATAAATCTCTAAATTATATTATGTTCGTTGAGGGCTAATATTGAAATTATCTGGTTAAGAAATTACAGAAATGCCCTTGAGAGGTAAAATAGTCCTAGTTAACGCTGAATGAGAAAATACTTTGAAGATTCGTACTTAACTCGATTAAGTACGATTTGATTGTTAAGATCCTGACTTAGTTCAGGAAAATTCCTGATTTTTCGTTTGTAAAATCTGAGAAGACATTTGACCCGAAAATATTCGAATAATGAGTAAATACTTGAAGAGTAATTTATCGGGGGTATTATGTCATAATTGTTTGAAAGGACTGAAATAAATGATAAGATTGAATTTAATAGTAAGATCGGACGGAATGAAAGGATTGAAATATGCTGAATCTGTAAAATGATCAAAATACCCCTGTAATGTAAATGACTCAAGAATATCACCAAGCTCAGGAATGATTGAATATCCTCGAGCTCTGAAATGAATGGAATAAAACTAAACATCAAAATTACCAAAATACCCTTATGGCCTAAATTAAGTAAATGTCTTAGATTAATTAAGGAATCCAAGTAAGCATAAGTATTGGACTACCTTTAAAGGTAATGGAAAACAATTTAAGTGAATAGGTCAACTATAAAGCTATGTCAATACCTGAATGACATAGATATTACTGGAACATGTGTTTGTCTTCTCAAGTTTGGCTCGATGATAAATTTTGGAAGTATTCAGCTCAGCTCAGCTCTAGATCGTATTCAGTACTAAGAATTGGATGTTTGTTCGACAAATCAACCACGAAGACCAAATTGAATGGAATGGAAGTACAACATGTATATGAAATTCATGAACGTTTGAATTATTCTGGAAAATCCTGAAGTAACTGGAATGGACTGAGGATTTAATAAGTGATTTGGATAAGTCTGGAAACTCTGATGATTCCGAAAATGGTCTACGGACAAGAATTTGTTGTATTAAAGAGTAAATACCCTAGAAGGAAAATGAATTGACCAGTCGATATAGATTGTTAAGGTTCTGAATCTTCGTTCTAAAGTTGTTCGATTATCCGATCAATTGACATGGATGTAAAGGATTCTGAATACCCTTCTGGTTACGTACAACTTCTGAAAACTGTCTGAATAAGATAATATCCTGATAATTCACATTCTGAATAACTGATGATTCTGTCAGTTAATGAACTCTTCCAATAGTGATTCTAAATTCCAACATTCTATCGACATACTGAAGAACTGTGTTTCTCTGCCTGATACAGTACCTCTAAATAATACATGTAAACTCTGGTGTGTTCCCTAATTACATGAATATTTTATCTAATTTCAAATTTGAATTCTGTTATGATACCTGACTTGGATTCTGATATGATATTGACATGGATTCTGATTGGATACATGACCTGGATTCTGATATGATACTTGACTTGAATTATGTTTTATTTTTGATACATCCGTTTACGGACGGAACATGTTTTATTGGGGGTATTGTTGGAGGAAGATTACTTGGAGGTTCCTCGGCTGTGTGCTCAGGGCCTTACTGGACGTGACGGGGTTGTATGGTTCTGGGGAACCTACACATTTTGTTCGTGACGGATGGGGGTATATATATATATATGTTTTAAAAAGATCTGAAAAGTTACATGGTTTTTGGGAACACGCTAGAAAACTTATTATGATCTCCTGAACTCAATCATCCGAAATATTTCTCTGAACTGAAAGCTCATTGTCCGTTACCACCTGAAATATCGGTAGGATCTCTGCTCAGCATAAAAATCTGTATATGTTCGGAAACAATAAGGAAATATATATTTATCTGTATCTGCACGTTCATCAGCATCATCTGGTAGTTTGTATTACTGAGCTTTCCAAAGCTCACTCTATTACTCACCTTTTCAGGTTAAAAGAATTGTACCAGTGCATCTATCGACTTCAATAAGGGAGTTCTTCCGGCGTTGTTGCAGAGTATGGTACATGTGATTAGGGGGCATGTAATTGTATTTTGATTTGTATACGAGTCTGGAAATCTGTTTTATTTTTAAAATAGTGATAACTGATTTTATAAGTTACACGTTTCAATAAAAGTTTTAAATTTTCCGCTATTTTTACAATAGGTCGCTCCGGTGGCCCAAATGTGACACCCCGGATCGGATTTATTACCCTTAACGGTATATGGGGTTACACTGAAATTCCTAAAAGATTGCGACTTCGTGTAGTCCTCCCATGGAGAATTTTTTTGCAGGGA